AAAAAAAATGCAAACGATATTACAACAGAAAATGTGAAAAGACGAATTTGAAAATGAAGATAGAGATTAGAAAGAAACCGCTGCTATGAAAAATAAAGACACGGTGGAGATTTTTAAACTATATAATAAGGGAAAAATTATTTGTTGAATTTAACACCCACAGGTCATAACGCAAGGGAAAAAGAAACAGGAGGGGAAAAAGCTACTAAGCAAATGGTTTAGGGTAGGGGAAAGACAACCAAGACAGAGAGAAATGATAAAGTGACACGAGTAGCAGAGGAAGTTGCGGGAAGCCAGCAAGGCCCATATACTGTTAGGACATAGCCCACGTGTAAACGTGTAGTAAACCTGAAGAAGATCGAATGCATAGTAATCTCAACAAGTTTGTTAACCAGAACTGTACGTCAAGATATCATTTACTTATGAAATAATAAAATGTGAGGCATTGAGTTAAAATCGAACTCATTGAACAGTTATGATGGTTTACTGGACAAGCTTGTTAACCATTATTCTATAGCAATAATTCCCAATATGGTGCGCATTCCCAACAGGTAATATTTGGGTGGGGCATGCGTAGGATGTGCACCCTTCGGCGTACTATACCAACGTGAGCTCAAATTTCATTTTGCATTATTATTTCAAGTTTAAAATGATCAAAGTATATTACAAAATAAGCTTTCATTCAAATATTTTATATTTCAGCCTTTCAGTTCTCTATTATATGTTTTGAAACTGTATATATTAAAATGTCTTTTTGTTTTTTGATTTTTCTCTTTCATGGACGCCATGGTCTTTAGAGGGTTGTTTAGAGACCAAATTAATGTGCTTTTAAGCTTCCTTCACGTGAATTGCAGTAAAATTTTGAATATGTAAGAAGTAAATATTACATAGGTGGGCACCAGAATTAGAAATACCAAAGTGTGGCATTGCCCAAAATCGGTTCGGAACCACTGCATTATAACAAGGCGCCATTTTACCGATTGTTTTTCAATGCCTTTTTTTTCTGTGTTTCGAGAAGACAAACTCTTCACCTCACCCACTTTTAACTGTTCATCTTTTTTATTTCTGATAACCTTCATGAATTTCTTTAGCTCTGTTTTCATGTTTTCCATCAAATATTTACCTATTTCTTTATCCACTTCTTTGTATACTCATCAGTTCCTTCCATTTGTTTGTTGTATATTCTTTTTTTTTACCTTCTGCTTTTCGATTGGTTGTCAAGAACGGATTAACATGCCATCAACAACCGACCTGACTTTGCGGTCTTTCCTGTCCAACACATCGGTGCTCTCAACTATGGTTCGAGGATGCTGACAAGTCGGCTCTTAAAACAACCAGTTAGACTTTGTTCTCTTTTGTCATTTTCGCTTTTTCCTTTTATTTACATTTCTTTCTTTCTTTTTTTCTTTTCCTTTCATTCTTTTCTTCTGTCAGTGTTTCTCTCACAATATAACGTATTCTTCTTCTCTTTCGTTTATTAAATATATTTGTTTCTTCCTTTCTTCGTGTTAGCTTTTATATATATTTCATTCCTTCCTTCTATTTTCTTTCATTTTTCGGCATTTCTTCCTTTCTTCGATTTCTCTTACAATTTTTTTGTTCTCTGTTTTTATGTTTATTACTCGATTTCATCTTTCTCTGAACACTTCGTTTTTACTCAGTTCACCCCAAACAAGTCAATAATGTCACTAAGATGCTCTAAGGGTCTATAAGAATTGAAAGAGAAGGAAAAAAAAAAACTTTCGAAGAACCGGAAACTCTATCCTAAACAACAAACAAGGGATAAACCTCTACTCCTGTTCAACAGACCCGGGAGATGTGTGATGCGGACAATAGGCGAATTTGTTTTACTTCTATTGAAGAAAATAAAATAAAATAAAATTGCAGAGTTTACGCGGGAACGTCAGAAGCATATAGTTGAAGTAAACTTTAGAAGGAACCGGAAACATGATTTTAACCCTAGGATGGCCGAGGTATCGTTTTCGAAACCTTCAAATTTTCAACAAATTACTATGGAATAAATAGTTTTAGTTCGATGCTAAGGCTTATGGACAATTATTGAATTTTAGCAAAGATGCTTAACAGACTTAATTCTTTAAAAAATATTCAGTGGAATAGTTGATATTTAAAGTTCTACCTTGAATGGCCAAGGTGTCGTTTTTGACACCTAGGCTATTTATAGGGTAAATGCATTGAAAAACTTCTCACAAGCAATAATACTTGTGTTTATATCCCCTATTTATCTATTTATCTATCTATCTATACACAAACACACATAATTTTATATATATATATATATATATATATATATATATATATACATACATACATACATACATATATATATATATATATATATATATATATATATATATATATATATATATATATATATATATATGCATGTTTCATTAAAAAACGACAGACAAGGTTTTACGGCTGAGCTTTTTATTTAATTTTTCTTGTGTTCTGACAAGAGCTTTCTTTTCTGGACATCCTTGATAATGGCTAAAGTTATAGCCGAAAGCGCTCGGAAATATAAAACATTCGGACTGTTCTTACACACCCTTTGTCCAGAAAAGCTCTTGTTCGAACACAAGAAAAATTAAATAAAAAGCTCAACCGTAGTACCTTGTCTGTCGTTTTTAATGAAACATGCATAAAGGAAGGATTGCTGCTTAAATATACAATATATATTTAAATAAAAAGAAAGAACAATAAGATATATAATCCGCTGTTCTTATAGATAATTTTATTTTTACAAAATAGTGCTCAATGTAAATTTACAGAGCATTAATATTATAAATTAATTGATTTAAAATATGGATTTTTCCGCTACACAGTTCTAACCATGTTTCAAATTTTTTTTTCATTTTTGAAACTTGGTTAGAACTGTGTAAACTTTTATAAAAAAATATTTTAAATCAATTAATATATATATATATATATATATATATATATATATATATATATATATATATATATAATCACTTTCTTTCAGTATGAGGTATACTAATATTTGTGAATTTCTTTTCAGACTTGTTATTCCTGACTTGAATATTGAATATATTAGAGATGGCTGCTTCACGGCGTAATGTAAATAAAGATGTCAAAAGAGCTGGCCATCCTAGTGTTAAATTGGAAACAAGGGATGAACCTCTACTCCTGTGCAAAAGGACGAGAAGTTTTTTATTTAGTTTTGTTTTGTTTTGCAGCATATTAACCTCAATGGGTTATGAAATGTCTACAAGATTTTTGTTTTGGTATGGTTTGTTTTGCTTTACAGTATATCAACCTCAATGGGTTATGAAATGTCTACAAGATTTTTGGTTTGATTTGGTATGGTTTGTTTTGCTTTACAGTATATCAACCTCAATGGGTTATGAAATGTCTACAAGATTTTTGATTTGGTTTGGTTTGGTATGGTTTGTTTTGCTTTACAGTATATCAACCTCAATGGGTTATTTAATGCCGGCAATTTTTTTATTGTTCGTAATATTTTTTCCAGAAATGTATTGTTGGTTATATTTTTCCAAAAATGTATTGCTGGTAATAATCTTTTTTCAAAAAATGTACTGCTGGTTATAATAATCTATTTTTTAAATGTACTGCTGGTAATATTTTTTTCAAAAAAAAGTATTGCTGGTATTAAAACCTATTTTTATACTTTAATAGTGTTTTCATTCTTTATTTTTTTTTGGGGGGGGGTAACTATTTGCCCATAGCAAGGACCACCCCGGATCAGAGTGGACCCGGGAACACCAGAAATTAAGAGGTGGTTCCGGCCCCTCAAAACCTTCTGATCAAAGGCCTTGCTGTCGGATGTAACTTACCCAGGACGCGAATGTAGTTTCTCGTCATACCTAGTACGGGACTGAGGAGAGGTATGACCTAAAGACACAAGGAGTGCCAGAGAAATTCAAAGAAGTAGCTAAATACGCTTTTCAGACACTGAGTGATTTGCACCGGCAAAAATTATATTAGAAAGGAAGAAAAGATCGTTACATAACTTTGTATTTTTTACCCTTAAATATGGTAGTGAAATATGAACAAAATTATTAACGTACTATAGTGTTCTCGTGCTGTCAAAAATGGCGGCAATTGTTAGAATGTTCAAATTAACAAAACCGGATGACGTATGGTGATTTTCTAAGCATAGCCAAATGTATGCGGTACCCAGTGAGGACCGAACTCACAACTCAGTCGTAATTGTTTTATCGAAACAAGCTTACAAGCCATAACACCATGTCGAGGTGTCTTCCGGATCTCACCCCAAATCTCAATTGGAACTCAAAAAAAAAAAATTACTACATAAGGAGATGAGGACAATAAACGAATGAGTATTAACAAGACAGAAGATAACGATAGACATTGCATTTACGTTTTGAAGATCAAAGTTGACTGGGAAGCAAGAAGCCGGAAGAAAGTTCCACAAGCGAGACGTGCGATAGAAGAAACTCTTGGCATAGAACTTACGGTTACCTCTAGTCATTTCAATTGTACATTGATGAGACCTTGCCGCCAATCTAGTACTGCACTTAAATTCATAAAGACTAGGTACCATAAATCAGAAAACTTAACATGAAAGTTATTTTTATAGAAAAGTCATATTATGCCGGGGAGGAAAAGGTCTGCAATTGAGATGCCAGGTCAGGACCAATAACATTGCAGATTATTCTTTGGATTTTATCAAGAATCTCTAAGTATATAACTTGCATCATGCCCAGTGTTGAGGGTTTGTTTTAGCAAAATAGTAAAATACGCCATTATGTGTGAAACCATATGTATGTGCACTTTTACGGCAGCACCATTTGGCATTGTGCTCTCCAGATTTAAAACCTATTGACCATGTATTCGATATTTTGCGGAATCTATTAGTTTCTTCACAGCCTTACTACACAAACATAACTTAGTTATAGGCAATACTAGATTGTGCCTGGATAGTTTTACCAATGCAACGAAAGAAAGCATTCCACTTCCCGTTGCCCCAATGCAAGATGTCAGCAATTGTGGAAAGAAGAAGAAGAAGAAGAAGAAGAAGAAGAAGAAGAAGAAGAAGAAAGAAAGGGGAAAGGGTGCAGTAGAAAAAGAGGAGCAGCAATAGAAGAAGAAAAAGAAGAGTTAAAAGGAAGAAGAAAAAAATAAAGATAAAAAGGAGGAGACGGACTCGTAGAAGCAGCAGTAGCAGAAGTAAGTGGCGGGGAGAGGAGTAAGAAGAAGAAGAGTAGCAGCAGCAGGAGTGGTAAGAAGAAGAAGAAGAGGAGGAGGAGGAGGAGGAGGAGGAGGAAGAGGGACGTAAAATAGAGTGAAAGAGGAAAACATTGAAATAAAAAAGGACAATTATACAGGAAGAAAAAGAAGGAAAAGAAAATAGGAGAGAAAAAATTAGGGAAATGAAGAAATAAACAACGAAGAAGAAGGAAATGTAGTTGAAGAAGAAAAGAAAAAAAGGAATGATGATGAAATACCGAATGATGCCTAAGAATAACTAGAGGTAAAATAAAAGTATTGCAAAATGGATAGCCGTTGGGAAAGAAAAATCGAAGAGCTAAATTCGAATTCCAGTCGTGTTCGTTGCATTTACTTACGCGGAAACGGTATAAATCCATTTCTTCCGCATCACCAGCTATAAGTCAAATAGTGGAATTTTATATCTGGAAACAAAAAAAAAATTGTTAACTCCCACCACAAAAAAAAAAAAAAAAAAAAAAAAATACAATATTCGCTGGCAAAAAAAGAAAATGAAAAGAATAATAATTATAATCCAAAATATTTATCAGCTTTAAATAACCCATAATGTGTTGATAAACAGTAAAAAATTAAAAACACTCATTCGCTCTGACGCGATTATTTAGGTGATAGGAAGCAGTTACATATTATGAGTTTGCTTTTACACGATATTTAGCATTTAAATTTAATATGATTTAATGAAAATACTTCCAACAAGACATTCAGACAGGATTTAGGAACATTCGTCCAAAGAATATTGGTCTAAAGGAAACCTATCTAAGGACATTGGTCTAAGAAATACACGTCTAAGAAACATTGGTCTAAGAAATACATGTCTAAGGACATTTGGTCTAAGAAATACACGTCTAAAAACCATTGGTCTAAGAAATACACGTCTAAAGTCATTTGGTCTAAGAAAAACACGTCTAAGAACCATTGGTCAAAAGTAATATTTTTTAATAAATTAAAAATTTATTGATGTATAAAATACTCAAATTTATTACATTACAGTATTATATTTAAGGCACGTATAGCAAAATTAATTACTGGTGATACATGTCGTTTATAATCATTTATTGGCATGCATTGTTTCTATATTATCACATTAAACCTCTAATGACAAAAGTACACAGGCGTAGGCTTTAAGAAAATTTTATTCAACTGAAAATACAAGTTTCGCATATAGTGTCCTTTTATAGTCCCAGTAAACAGAAGGGGAGACCACTCTTGATTATTCATAACAGTCCCATAATTCTGTAGACGAATATTTTTTAGACGTGTATTCTTTAGAGGTGTGTTCCTTAGACCAATGTTTCTTGGACAAATGTTCCGGATTCGATTCAGACAGTACAGGAATCGATCACCGGAAACGTTGTTAACAAAAAATAGTACGAAATTATATGTGAAATAATGAAAATACATCCTCTTGGAGCTTCTAACAGTAGAGGAACTGGTCATCGGAAAAGTTGTGATAAAGAGAAAATGAAGACAATAGTCCGAAATAATATGGAATAAGGAAAAACAAACATTCCTCGGGGCGTCAGATATTTGGGGCCTAAAAATAACAAAAGTGACGAGAATTGTTTGACAAAAATTGAAGGAATAACAAAAACGTATCATCAAATTTCAGAACGTAATTGCTTCGTTTTTATTTAATTTTTTTCTTCTATGGCTTCGTATTCTTTTTATCGTTTTTTTTTATTTTGCAGTTTCTTCTATTCCTCCGCTTTCCAAACGTTTTATTCGTCTACCACTTCCTTCCTCACGTCCCACTATTTCGTTTGCTCGCATTGCTATTAGATTCCCTCCACCACCACCACTGCCGCCTCTATCGTATCTGATAAAGTTAAAAGCATATTTCTCTGTCAGTTTGCCTTTCAGGATGGCTACTTTTCGCCTTCAACTTTAGAGAGCGATCACATGCCGGTGTCAATCAAAAAGCGAGATTTGATTTTATTTTATCGCGCCTTTTTTTCATCTTTTTCTCCCTTTCACTTCCCCTCTTTCTTTCTTTTCATGTTCGTTTTCTTTTCTTTTTTTCTTTCGTTTTTCTTTCGTTTTTTTTTTTTTTTTTTTTTTTTTTTTTTTTATAAATCCTTATTCTTTATTCTTCTTTTTTTTTTTCTTTTTGGTTCATATTTTATTTCCAAATTCTTTTCCGGGTCTGCTCCACTGATTTATGGTAATCAACTCCGCTGAGCTTCTTATAACATACCTTCATGGAAAATGCTATTAAAACGTTGTTTGGTTTCACATTTATCCTCTCTCTCTCTTTTTCTCTCTCTCTCGTTTCCTTTCATTTTCATTTACTTATTTATTCATAAAACAATTGATGTATTCAGCATCTTCTATAAACAGCAGAGATGGTGCTGTGGTAGCAGTGCTTGTCACGCAACCTATTAATAGTAATTCCTTTCATTAATGTGTCAGCTGTAAATGTAGCCGGGCATTCTCGGTGCAGTGGTTAGCGATCTAAGGACAATCTGTTAGTACAAATTTCGATTTTCGTTAGTTTATTTATGACTGCTCATTTTTTAATGAGGCTAAAATGTAAAATTTTAATTATGCTTCGTTTGAAGAAGATTTTAACACTTCTGACTTGGTTTTCTTGGTATTCAATTTATTTATTCATTTATTTATTTCTCTTTCTTTCTTTCTTTCTTCTGTTTTCAATATTTTCTTTTTTAATTTCCGACAATCTTCCTTACATTATTTTCTTACTTGAACTGTTGATGTGGGTCATCTCACTTTCTTTCTGCACTAGTATTTTCTAATTCATTCATTTTTCATTATTTTCTTTCATTCTTTCTTTCTTTCTTTCTTTCTTTTTTTCTTTCTTTCTTTTTTCTTTCTTTCTTTCTTTCTTTTTTCTTTCTTTCTCGTTCGTTTTCATTCTTTCCATCTTTACCTTTCTTTCTTTTTTTATCTAACTTTCTTTCTTCATTCATTCTTTCTTTCTTATTCTTTTTTCATTCTTTTCATCATTATCTTTCATATTCTTTTTCCCCCGTTGTGTTATCTTTCTTTCTTTCTTTCTTTCTTTCTTTCTTTCTTTCTTTCTTTCTTTCTTTCTTTCTTTCTTTCTTTTTCTCGCGTTCTTTTGTAAACTCATGCGTTTGTTTTTTCTTTTCTTTTCTTTTCTTTTCTTTCTTTCTTTATTCTTTTCTTCTCTATATTCATTTGTTCCGTTTTTTATTCGTTTGATAATTCTTTCATTCATTCACTCTTTATTTATTTCATCTGTTCTTTCTTTCTTCTTGTTCTTTTTCATTCTAATAATCTTTGTATTCCCATTATTTCTTTCGCTTGTGTTTTTTTCCATTAATTAATTCGTACTTTATTTATTCCTTCCTTCTTTCCTTCCTTCCTTCCTTTCTTTTTTTCGATCTTTCTTTAAAAAGACATCTTTGGTATCTCTTCAGTTTCCAGCCTTTTCGGCAAGGAATCTTAATAATTCTCTCTCTATCTGTCTCACTCTTTTTTTCTCTCTCTCTTTTTTCTAAATCTTCTTCCAAGCCTCCACCCACAAATTTCCCTTTCTCTCCTTTTCATATCTTTCTCTCTATTTTTGCTCTTCATCTTTTTTCTTATACTCACAGTGCCTTATCAATCTGAAATGCACTATATACAAGAAAAAAAGAAAAACAAAAACAACTCTCACATATACAATATCAATATACAATAACAATTTTCTATTACTTAGTTCCGTGCAATAAGGGAAAATTCTTTTTCCAACTGATCTCTTTTTACTGCCACTTGCTATCATCTTCCTTTACAGATCGGCTTTCACATCTGATTCCTTCTTTCATTTCTATAGTTTTTATTTCATTATCTTTTCTCTTTTCTCATCTGTTCGCATCAAAGTTAGATTCAGCATTTGGTCTATATTCACTGAACAGATCTCTGCAAGCAGCCGGTGCTATATGACTCCTTCTCGATATAAAACGCCGTCATGACTTGTCAGTCAATTGGAAAAGCTATCAAAGTGGATTCCCACTCAAGTTATCTCCCCTTTACTCTCCACACTCTCTTCTGCTTTGCCTGTCTATTTTACCACCCCGCTCTTCCTCTCCTGTTGCGATGTATTTTATGTTCGCTCGGGGCTCAATTTGATTGGCTGATGTCGCTTCCAATCAGCGACTTGACACTTATTAATCCGACAATCAGGCCAATAAACGACTAGGTTCATTTTTAGATAGGTGCTTATGTGTCTGTGTTAGTGTGTAAATATAGACATTGACTCATATCTGTATATTCATGTGTGTATGCCTGTCTTGAAAGTTGTTTGTGCGCTTTGCAAGATGTCAGCAATTGTGGAAATGAGAAAGAAGAAGAAGAAGAAGAAGAAGAAGAAGAAGAGGGACGTAGAAAAAAGAGTGGAAGAGGAAAGCATTGAGATAAAAAAAGAGACAAATATATAGGAAGAAAAAGAAGAAAAAAGAAAATAGGAGAGAAAAAATATTAGTGAAAACAAGAAACAAATAGCGAAAAGAAGGAAATGTTTTTGAAGAAGAAAAGAAAAAAAAATGAAAGATGATGAAACACCGAATGACAACGAAGAATACTCAGAGGTAAAGTAAAAGTATAGAAATAAAATGAAGAATGGAAAGAAGAACCAATAAGAATGAAGAACGAAAAAGTAGAAAGAATGAAAAAATAAAGAAAAAGTCATGAAAAATGATAAAAGAATGAAACATTGAGAAAAGTAAAGAAATGACCCAAATGAATGAAGAAACAAAAGATAAGGAAAATGAAAAATGAAAAAGAGCAA